TGTTCGGTGACACCCGAACTTAGCCCTTCCTTACTTGTTTTATTCCGCTTTTCCATCATTTCACTTACTGAGCATTACGCAGTGTCAACGACATTGTATAGTACGTAAAGGTGGACCTCTTTTTGATAAAGTCGTATTGTCTTTCTAATGGACCGCCAGCTTTCTGCATTGCTAACTCCAAGCGGTTTCTTATTATGTTTTCGTACACTTTGCCTCGCTTTTGACGTAGAGATATGAGGTATCGATAATGTCGATAACGTTGCGCCTACTTCTCACGAACAACGTAAGGACACACCATCTACAGGTACTACTRCAAAAATGATCTATTCGTGGCTCACGAGCCTACCAAACTAGCCTAACSTAAACTAACTTGATGGTCAGCTGATTTTTGACAAATTGGCGATACTTATGATTTTTTAGTATTTCTTTTATAAACAAATACTTTGTAAAAAATGTCGCTTCATTTTGGCCGTTTGCCAGCGTTTTTTACTTAATAAGATTTAAACATAATCTAACATGCATACATATGTGTGTTTGTACGTATGTATTTAACGATATATTTGTATTGTGTGCACATGGCGCACATTTTACGATTTGTTTAGAAAGCACTGAGCAAAACAGAGAAGAAACATTGTAAAGGGTGTTTTTATGTATTTTTCTTTGATGGCAGCATGCTCAAATGCAATATTTAAGCAAATAAATGAAGTGAGCGGCAATTGCAGCAATAATACACTTGTGAGTGTGCGCCGAAACAAAAAATTGTGTTAATCTCTGAGCAAAATGAGGACAACGACGCCGTTTCATACACTTTTATGCTTTTATCATACGCCGATCCGCTATTACGGACCGTTGGCATATGCGAGATTCTAACATTAGGCTAAGGCTTTCAATGCAGCAGTCGATTTGTCTTAATGTCGAAAATGTCTAAATATAATTTTAGCATTAATGGGCGAAAAATTTCTAAGTGCTGCATTTCAGCTGGCAGCTTTTAATGCAACGGTTGTACGTGAATTCTCAACAGCGCGTAGTGGGCAGCACGTAATAAGACAAAGGATTTGTGTTATTATTAAACAAAATATTTTCAAAATAATTTAGAATGTGCTAAAAAAATTTTAGAAAAATTTATTACAATGAAATTCCTATTATTATATATCATATACGCGCTACTCTACGCTAGCGCCAACGCAGCTGAGGAGCGCCCGAAATTTAATGTCGGTAAGTGCAGCACGCAAAATTATGCTTGTTACCTTGGCTTATAATTTKTATGCATATATTTATCGAAAAAAGGCATAATTTTCGCCAACAAAAATGATGAAACCGAAATCGCTTTCCGCACCGCCATCGAACGCGCCAATGTCTTTGAGCGCAGCTTCGAGTTGGAGCCCATTGTGGAGTATGCCGATACCGATGATAGCTTCATGGTGGAGAAAACCGGTTAGTCAATTAACTTTAATATTACTTATTGAAATTGTTATTAATTTGCGTTGTTGTCCATGAAAATTTTCGCTTTTCTGCAAAACAGTCTGCAAATTGATTGCGCAAGGCGTTATTGCTATTTTCGGGCCAAACACAGCAGGCGGCACAGGTATGTAAGCGCAACGAAAGAGAAAAGCAGCGCATTAAGCTATGCAAAGCTATATCCATAAACACACATACATATATACATTATCACACACATATCTACTATATTTACAAAAACACACACTTGCATATAACTGTATACACACATATATTCATATATAAATTGTGTTGCACTTGAGCAAGTTCATCTCTGCTCCTTCAGCAAGTGATTGTTTGTAAATAAATGCCTCTGGCCATGTATTTATAGTATACATATATATTTGCAAACATACACACCTACATAATAGCAGGCACCTCTGTATGCATTCGCGTTCTTATTTATAACTCCCCTTGAAATTTGTTAACCTACTTACCTACAATTTACCGGCGTTCTTAGCACGTGCTGCACACTGGTGGCGCATATTATTAGCACATTCAATTGAAATTGTTATTTTTTTTTTAAGTGAAAAATGTCAAAAGCCAACCGTATTATTTTATGCTCTTAAGTTAAGGGGTTAGATGGGTTTCTCCTTGTAAAAACAGGTTTTTTTCAACAATTTTTTTGTCATATAAAAAATTAAATATTTTATTTGAATTTTTTATTGTTACAAAGATACACTATTAACAAAGAAATTCTGAAATTTTTGAAAAAAAAATATTTTAAACTCGGCCATTGCGAAGCCATTACCGGTGGCCCATCGAAAAAAAAGCTGCGCGCACGTTGGTAGCATAACTCCTTACAAGATCGTCTAAAGTGAAAAAATACGTGTTTCAGTTAAAACCTTAATCTAGAACTTGGACAAAGAAAAAAAACTGAAAATTTTATCTTTGGCAGACACTTTTTAAAAAAATTAAAATTACGCAATTTTTTTTTTTTCAAATAATTGTTACGGAAAAGAATCCTTCGTGAAAGTATTTAAGAACTTTACCTGAAAGACCTGTGTAAAATTTCATGAAGATCGACTGAGTAGATCTCGAGAAATCTTGCCAACCGACTTCAAAAACCCATCATCGTGAAAAATGCGCTTAAAGACGCGCACTTAGCCTAGCTAACTTCGAGTGCACAAGTTCTCAAGGCTGTRTCTCCGAAACTATTACTCGGATTAACTTGCAAATTTAGGACAATATTCTATACTTGTAGGTGTTGTAGAAGTTAATAATAAAATTAAAATCTAAAAATCGATTTTTTGAAACCTGTGAACCCAAGTAACCTCTTAACTATTGTAGTTTGCTTTGTTGTGTTGCAAACTGCCGTTAAGGGATCAGTAGGGTAATCTGGCCTGTTTTTTTTGACTTTTTTTTTGATAAAAATTTCTATTCTACAATAGAACTTTTTTCACAAAACATGAGGTACTATATATAGTGGAGTGTATAAAAAAATAAATGCGTTTTTTCACTGGCGGACACGATTTCTCATGTTTGGATCATCTGGAACACAAAAATTCTTAAAAAGTACATCCCTACTAGAAAAAATATTGATAAATAAGATAATAATTAACGATTGACATAAATTTTATCATAACACTATCAATAAGTTATAAAAAATATGGGGACGATAGCCAGGCGTTTTGTGAACATTAAAAAAAAAAATAATTAAGCAAATCGATTGAATGTCCGATCATGTCCATCAGTTTAAAAAAATATGTTTTGAGAAAAACGCGTTTAAAGTTTGAGGTACTGCACTGCTAGCGCCCCGAACGTCGAGCGGTATTTTTGGGCCATTTTCGAAACCTTGCAATGGTAAAGTGGATTTCTACATTAATTGTAAGGGTATAAGGGAAAAAAAAATGCAAAAAAAATTTTTTTGGAAAAATATTACCCTACTGACTTCTTAAGCAATACCAACATCTCCGCCAGGATCGAGAAAGACCTTTCCGAGCCGTTCGTTACCAAAGAAGGTTTCAGGCAAGGCGACTGACTCCCTATCGTGCGACTACTTCAACCTACTCTGGGAGAAAAAATTCTACTGAGAGACCGAAATGCGGGAGTAGGAAGAGCTTGACGATCTAGTCGACAGGGCTACTGCTCGAAAATTCTACGAAAAGATGTGGCGACTAACAGAAAGTTTCAAGATCGGAGTATACTTTTGTAAAACCCCCCGAGGTGTTTTAGTGACTGATACCCAGAGCATACTAAAATTATGGAGAGAACACTGCTGAATGGCAATGAATTCCCCAATCGATGACGATGGAGCGGACATTYTATTGCCCGACCATAAAGAAGTTCGAATAGCAATTACCCATCGTAAGGAAACAAAACTGCGGAGTGTGATAGATTGCCTAGCTAAAGCTTGCTTAAATACGTGGTGGCGAAGCTGCTTTGTAAAATATGGCCGAAYGAAAGCATGACCGACAATTGGAA